ACATAGGCCTGTGGCTATTTAACTGTCTCATAATAATGAAATACATTCTCTAGATAAATCATCTGGTCTATACGTGCCATCAGCAAATGGCAAAAGAGGACATTCACAAGTTATAACATGTCTAAAAACCAAATATTTCCAGTTTACTATGACAGAACACAAATAAAATAATCTTTAGAAGATGGGTCAGTTTTCCTTTAGATTCAAGAAGATGAAGCAATAATCAATAATTGACAAATTCTTGCATCTCAAGTCCAGAATGCAGAAAAAATAACAACAATGAAACAGGTCAAATGAAACGTCTCTGCACAGACACAGCAGAGACATGTATCTGTCCCCATAGGAGGGTCCTGTGTGTTTATTACCAGGTCGTCCCTCCTCGCTCGGTGGTATAAACTCAAACTGCAGCCAGGACGGAGCGTCAACACAAAGCGGCCTCCTGTTCAGAACGTGAAGACAGAACAAAGCCAGTCTTTATACCGATCCCAGTTCCCCCTCGAACAGCCCACCTCACTTTCCTCCATCCCCCCTTCCCTCTCCCGCTGTCGGCCTTCCACAAATGTTTCTCCATGCCGCTCATTTACTCTCTTTTTCTCTCCTTCTGCAAACCCCTGCAGGGTCCGGTCGGAGCTTCAGGAGCTAAAGGAGACATGGTAAATATTTAAGACAAAGTTCAACTTAGATCGGACCTCCCCTGAATGACTTGTAATAGTCTTCACCCACCTGTTAGAAGGATATAAACTGTTATATAAGATGCTGTTTCATAAGAGTTTGATGTTGATGCTGAGACTGTGTTGTCCTGTTCTCAGTTATTATAAAGAATACAAATGGAGCCGGATGAGTTTCAATCAGATGGTTCAGATGTTTTTGTTGTCTCTTTAGGGCGTGGCAGGAAGTGACGGTTTACCAGGAGAGAACGGAGAACCTGTAAGTTTTGTCTTCCATGTTTTATTGTACATCCTCTGACAACAGTAAAAAGATGTAGAACTGATTTAGGGCTCTGCTGCCTGACTGCTGACTATAGGACCAGGTGATGGACAACACCTATTTTGAAGCCTTTACACTGGTTGCCTGGTTATTTCACTTCATGATCCTGTACTGGAATTCATGGTCCTGCAGTTATTCAGTGATTCTGAAAAGCAGAATGAAAACTATGGGTGGTGGAGACTTTAGTGATCGCGCTCCGAGCCACTGACCCGATCTGCCTGAGGATGAGCTGAAAGCTTTTTAACACATCTTTTGATTAGAATGTTTTACAGCCATTGATTGAATTGTATCTGATAATTTATTTAATTGTATTTATGTCCTAAAAATTGTTTTAATTTCTTTTATCCATTTCATTGGTCGTATTATTTCATTCTATTTGTCATGTCCATCAGTCTCAAATTGTTTTATTGTTTATATGAGAGCTCTTTGAAGCCATAACTATCACGTTTGAATTATGAATTGATTATTTGTGTTTTTATATATATTCAACTAAATTTCCATCTTTTTTCAGGGTCACTTTGGACCAGTGGGACAAAAAGGAGAGGTGAGCTACAGTGTTACTACAATTATTATATTGTATATATAAGTTATATATATATAATCCAATCATGTATCTATTTCACTATTTATTATTCACTTAACATTAAATATATAAACTTTTCATATTACTTTAAACAAATTATTCCAAACAATAAATATAAACATTTCAACCATTTATCCATTAATTTAATTTACCAATTTCAACAGTTAATCTATTTTTAAGCTATTTGACCATTTATTATGAATTTCAAGCTACTTCTTTTAAATTTTGATCCATTACTTATAACAATTTAAAACAGTTATACATTACATTTACGTATATCAATGTTTTTCATATTACTTTAAACAAAGAATTTCAACTGTTTGTATATAACAATAAGTTAAATATTTTTGAATCTAATCTAACGAATGATCCATTCTTTTTATTCAACTATTTGAAAGTTGGTCCAGCATTTTTAGCAAACTTTCCACTTGTCTTCGTGCTTGATAACTCACTGACTCAACATCAGCAGTTAAATCATTCTCATTTTTAAATCTCTCTAAGTTTTAGGCCTAATTTCCAATTTTTCAAATGTGTTGAGCTCAACAATCTTCCACATGCACCTCGAGCAGCTGCAGAAACACCCCCTGCAGAACTGAGACCCCTGGCTGTGAGTCGCTGCAGTCGATTTGTGTCTATCAGCACAAAACACATGAAGATGTGTGTGGGTGTAATTAGCAGCAGTTTGCCACCCCCCCCGCTCCCTCACTGAACATTAAAAAACGGAGCCGTGCTCTGAGCTGTCACTTTGTCAGACTCGCTGCATGTGATGCAGCCTCACATTCCAGCTTTAACAGGATTAATTAGAGATAGGTATTGCTGCTTTAGTTTTATTGGCCTGTTTGCTGCTGTCGCCATGAGGGAGTGAGACGAGGCACATTAAGCTGCAGCAGACTTTATGTAACTGGAGTTGCTGTGCTGATGAGCCTCCCGCTCACAGTCTCATTTACTGTTTGCTGCTTCTCTTTGGAGTAATTATCTAGCAACGAGCCGCCGTGTGAATCCGCCTCCGCTTTGTCTCAACAGAGCCAGTTTAGTTTGCTCGTTGGTTTGTGTTCAGTGATTAAAGCTGGATGTTTTGTTAGCTCCAGTCTGAAAGTGATTTTTTTCATTTTTTTGTGAAATATCATGAATCATCTAAAGGGTAATTCTCATTGATGACAGTCAGGAAAACGTGGTGAGCTGGGACCAAAGGGCGTGACGGGTCCGCAGGGAGAGCTTGGTGCCAGAGGGCCTCCAGGAAAACAAGGGGTAATGGGCTTCCAGGGAGAACAGGGTCTGCCTGGGATTTCAGGAAAGACAGGTGTACCTGTGAGTATTTTATTTTCTCTTCTTAGTATAAATCTCCTGACCAATGGAAGCATATTAAATGTTAATGTCTTATAATAAACTACATGAATGGGGTCACGTTTGAAAAATGTCTCTTCAGGGTAAACTGGCGAGCGAGCAGCAGATCAGAGAGCTGTGTGGCTCCATGATTGATGGTGAGACATCTTAATTAGCATTTGTTCATAATTCATTCCATCACTGAATAAAAGCTGGATATTCATCCCCTGGTGTTTTTTTTTCTATCACACAGATCAGATAGCACAGCTGGCAGCTAATCTGCGAAGACCACTGGCTCCTGGAATGGTCGGCCGCCCGGGCCCTGCTGGGTCTCCAGGAAGCCCAGGAGTATCTGGATCTATTGGGCATCCAGGCACTCGTGGACCACCAGGGTACAGAGGTCTGCCAGGAGAACTGGGAGACCCTGGTCCCAGAGGTAGGACAGATTAACTTTCAATCAATACTGGGGCAAAACAAATCACTGATCAATGTCTTTACAGTTTTATCATGATATGGTCTTCTCATCAGAACTACTTATACCACAGAAAGTGACATATTATACATTAAACCATTAGATTTTTAATGTGCATTATTCCAAGGCAATGCATAAGGAGCATGTTTTTAGTTTAAAATAAGTTATATACAGGCAGGTAATGTGGTGAGATAAATCTCTGAATAGGGCTGCATGACTTGATCTTTTACATGAAATCATCTTTTAAGTTTTAATGGAAAATGCCACTTTAATGGAAGTGGCCTCAACTAGACATTTTATTTTTGTGAGGGGTCACAAGCCAAAAAGGTTGAGAACCACTGATTTAATTTTTAACACATTTAGTTATAAGACATGTTCTTTTTAGCATTTGAAATACAGTTGAGTACTAGTATCAAGTTGCATAAACTGGAAACACAGCTGACAAACAGTTTTTTACAACAGGTGATGTTGGTGAACAAGGAGACAAGGGACCCATTGGGAAAACCATTGATGGGCCACTTGGAGACCAAGGATACCAAGGTATGAGGCTCTGACATGAGCTACAAGACTGTGGGTTACTATACTGATCATATAGGTCTTACTCCTGGAGGAAGTATCAAACAGACATGATGATAAGTAGAGTTGATGACAGCTGCTTCCACTTGTAGGGTTTATTGGTAAATATGGAAGGGAGCTATCAGTATGTTATTCATTATCCATCACCACATATTTTCTGATTGTCCCACTAAAGAGTTTAAATATTTTATGCCAAATCGTTTGATCCACGCGACTAAAACCAACTAAAATCTTTTGCATAGGTCTTCCTGGAGTTCCTGGAATTGTCAAAGATGGCCGTGATGGATCTGTAGGAGATCCAGGCGAGCCTGGAGAGTCAGGCAGGGTAGGTAGGACTGGGCACCAGGGACCTCCTGGTATCTGTGATACATCAGCCTGCCAGGGAGCAGCAGCCGCTGGGAAATCCACCAACCCCAAAAACCATTAAACATGACTTCCTGCACCCTGTGGCCATCCACCCCACGCAGGAAGGGTGAAAAGTGAGGGAAAGCAAGAAATGAAAGAAGAGTGATCACAAAAAAAACTGTCCTCCTCCTTTATTGAAACAAATGTATTACAAGATGGGAAGAGTAAAGTCCACAGATGTGATATTTTAAGAGGAATAGAGGAACATCCAAGGAGTAACACTAAGACCAGAGCAACCGAGAGACAAAAACATCAAGATGACATCCTGAAATAAAGTGGACAGAGACACGAGTGCAAGAGAACAACTGCATTTCTCCGAATACTGTCACATCAGACTTGATGACTTACAAAATGTATGAAAATGAAAGAGTCCTTTTTTGTATAAAAACTTTGTACATGTTATTTCAATGCCCCCATTACTTTTAAAACCAACAAGTGACTGTCTCTGCAGTGAATGTGCATGTATCACAGCCCATTAGTGAAAATCACAGGTGTTACCTCAACGTACGAGCTTAACGTGTAATATATGGAAACAGGTGCCAGAGGCGAGAAGCTGTGTATGTACTGTAAAAGGAATAAAAGAAACAACTACCCCGGTGCCCAGACATTGTGTAGATTGATGCAAAAAAAAAAATGTATACTGTTTTGATAGTCTTTTTTTTTTTTTACAGCTTTTCTTATTCTAAATTACATGTGAAGCTGATTCTCCAGATTTGAGAATCAAATGTTTTCAAACACCACATCCACTTTGTACTACCGGTGCTGTAACTATTAAATATACAAGACTTTAAATACTATTTATTATTTGTGGGTGACTGTTGTATGTACAGTAAAATGCTACAGCGACATGTTGTAAGAAAGAACAAATAAAGCCACTTTTCAGTAAAAACATTACTCTTTTCTACATATCAAATGACCAGTCTTCACTTCAGAATAATTAACTCTATGAACATTACTTAACCCCATTTAATCGCCAGGCAGTAAAACTTCATTCATAAGCAAGATTTAAATTAGTGCTTGAAGACTAAATGCAGGTGGAAAAGTGAACCACACACTGTCTGAACAGTTTAACCAAAGCAAATGATTTTAAATTGACACAAAATTTAAATCAGGTATAAAAAGAGGCCAATATAAATAAAGTTAGTTAAATCTATAAGTTGAGGAGCATAAATGTTGCTCATTAGAGAACTAACTATTTTACAAGGGGAGCAGTGCCACCTATTGGTGACTCTATGAAAAGCCCCCCCCCATGAACAAATGCTGGCTTAAAGAGAACCAAAGAATGGACTTCACTGGACACCCTCAGATAATGTGCTCAAATATCTGGCTGACTTACTAGATAAATGAGTGAGGATGGGGGTGCAGCGGGTGGTGGTCATTGTTCTACCCTGTCAATCATCTCCTGCTGGACAGAGTCATAGCCTGACGAAGAGCTGGATTTCAGATGCAGTTCTTTCGCATCGTTGAATGATTTCTGAAACTCCTGTAAACAAGGAAGATATGAGATTATTGTAGTTTATGACAAACTCAGACCTCAAGGTTTTTCAAAACTTTACGTGAAATTCTCAAGAAAGAAAATGCAGAAATCTTTCTGGAAATGTGTAGAGTGATTAATTTGCTGCCATGTATTTTTCCATCAAGCGAATCAATTTTCAAAGACTAAATAACTGCAACATTAGATAATCCATCACAGTAGAATAATAACGTTTATTCGATTTTATACTGAAAAACTAAGAGGAATTTGATTTGAACTCTCTAAATAACAAAAGCAATATAAAGTCTACTGCAGCTCTATAATTCAACAAGAGGAAATTTAATAAACATCTCATCTCCCCGTCCCTGACTTTGAGTCTCAAATTATTCAGCTGCAGGGGGATGAAGCCTTAAATGTCTTTTCATCAATCAGTTATTTAACTCCAAGATCAAACCACACACTTGTACCTTTTTGAAGGTGTCTCCATACATCTTGTTGATGTACACAAGGAAGGCGGTGGTCCAGTGTAGGGTGGTGACTTTATCCGTGCCTGACTGGCAGAATGGCACCAGCATGTTCAGCTCGTCACAGTATAAACGAATCATCTTTCTGCACAGCGGCACACGACATACAGACAATTCTCAGACTTAATACACAAACTGTCACTTTGTTCTTACTTTGGAATAAAGAAGACTGATTGCATTTAGTTCATCTAACAAATCAAGAAACTACACACAGACTCATGAAGCAAATCTATTTGGAGATTAACAAAACGTTTGTTGACGACCCTGTTATAATTTGTATTTGACTCTTATGGTTATTCTCCATCCCTGCCTCAGGGTGGTGCTGTTCACCTGCTCCTTCTTCAGTATTTCACAAACTGTGGAGGTTGCAGAGACACTTTCATCTGTGAGTAATGGCTGCTCACCTGCGTTTCCTCTCGCTACTGTTGTGTCTCTCCCTGCTCTCCATGACTGACGTACTGGATTGGGCTCTTTGTCTGGTGCTGCTCCCGTGACCACGCTTCCTGGAGGCAGCAGGTGTCACATCTATTAAAAAAAAAATATGACAGCGTACAAGACATTTAGATACATGGTACGGCGAACAACAAAACAAGTACTACAATTGGTTTTCTTGTTGTGCAGCACTTTGTACTTTAACCATTCATTTTCTTGTTGTGCAGCACTTTGTACTTCATGTTGAAAAGTGCTCTATAGATAGTTACTGGTGTCAATAATATCTCTGGGCAAAATTAAAAACTCTGGATCAAACCTTGGTGCTTGTTCAGTTCAACCATGTGAGGAATATGGTCAACCACCTAAGATTTTTAAAAAAAACAAATGATTCAATATTCTGCAATAAAGCTATTATGAAACTTAAAGTTGTGATTGTTTTCCACCACACCTGACCACACATAGTCATGACAGGGTTAAATACACCCCCGTTGGCTGGGATGCAAACTTCTAGGAGATTCACTCCATCAGTTTTCATCCTCTTCTGCATGTATGGTACAAGGGTCATTTGAGCATTTCCAGACTGCTGGAATATTTTTAAAAAACTGAAAGACAATAACAGATTTTGTCAATACATCAGTATTATATCTATAAACACATACAAAGATGTATCTCTGTGTTGTGCCCGATGCATTTGCCCCATCCCTTGTTGGGATTACAAGATAAACCTAATTTACAAACATAAACATCTTCCTTCTTGTATTGCATATTAAAAAACAGGTGGTTGGATCGATGGATGAGATAAGATGATAAGAAGAAGTCTGTATTACAGCAGCAAAAAGAGAATAGTGAAATACACTCTTTGTAACGGTAATAAATAAGTTTAAAAATACAATATAAACACAGGGAACTATAAAAGCTAGAAATATGTTTGTGTATATTGGTGAAACCTATGGGAGACAGCTGCTGACTGAACGTCCCTCTGTCTCTGGAAGTCAGCAGACATTGTGGTGAACCTCTTCTCCAAGCAAACTCTTGCAGAGGATCTGTGACCTTTGACCTGCGAGGACACGCGGCTGTTGACGGGCACTTTAGTCGGACTCTTGACACCTCTGAGTCTGGCCAACACAAACCCCGGGACCTCCACATTAGAGGTGGGGGTCTTCTCTCCTGACATCACCAGACAGTGATCTTCAGTGGCAACTGACAGGTCAATAGCTTGGGTGGTCGTGAAAGGAGAGGTCCCTGTGGGTCCAGTGACATCTGTAGAGATCGCTGCAGCTGGATGATCCCTCACATCAGGCCAACATCTGTTCATCAGGCCAGCATCAGGCCCAGTCTGTGCCTCCATGTTGGTCTGGATGAGGCGCTGGAGGTGTGAGTGCTCACCCTCGGTGATCTCCATCAGATCGAGCTCAGCTTCCAACATCTGATCTGTGTCAAACAGCTTTTCTCTATATGTCCCAGACCCTGAGTTCTCTGGATGGAGGTGAAACATGAAGGATTTTACTTGCTTAGCAAAAGGTTGGCATTTCTTTTCTTTCTTTTTTTACATATAAGACAACTATGGTGTCTATTTCTCCATTTCCAACATTAAATTGTAGCTAGTTTTGAGCTAGTCATAGTTATTAGAATTATATTTATGAACATAGCTTAAACTTGAGCTTAAACAAACACTAATGATGTTGTGTTAATATATTATAATATATAATATTCCAAAATCTAGGATAACAAATTATATAATTATGCTAACGAGCAAAGAGCATTAAGCTAATACATTTGAGTACAGTGTATTAGTTTGCTAACAACCTCAGAAACGTAACATACTCATAGAAGCATTAGCATTGTGATCAGAGGGTCACTAAGTTGTTCGGTTTGAATCAACTCAAACAAAGATGCAGTTGTTCTGTTTTCAACTTGTTCATTTCCGTAGTTTTCCCACTTACTTCACTGATCCCTGGTCTGTAGCCGCGCTGCTAACACCCGGTGCCGACTAACTCCTGGACGTCGACGGACCTGAAGTGTCACAGTGTCGAGTTATTTAAATGTTGCCCGTTAGATCACGTGGAGAGAGAAGAGTTACAATATCCGACGCGTTATAAATACTACTACCACGAAGTACATGTACTCAAGTACATGACAGAAGCACGAGTAATTGTAATATAGTTTGTGTATCTTTTAATATAGTGCAGTACCACTCAAGTACAATTCAGAGATTATTAATAATATTAATAAAAGTTGTTTGTTGTTGTAGCATCTTTCATACAGGAAATACAGCTCAAAGTGCTGTATTTCTATATGCTGTAGTCTATAAAACAGTCTATAAAAACAGTTTTATAGACTGTTTTATAGACTATATTATATGTATATATATATAAATGTAAAGTGAAATATTTTAATACTCACCTACAAATATATAGTATTTAATTTTACACTTGTGTATCATGTAGAGAACTACCTTCTCTGGACCCTGGTCTTCTTGCATTTCATGATGGGTGTTTTAAACACAGAACCAATGACCAGGTAAAGCCATGCTGTTACTCATCAGACGGACATGGACGTGTACCCAAGACATGAAGTCAAATCATGTTTATGCACAAAAATAACAGATATAGAGACCCTGTTGCTTATTCCTACCAGGACAGGTAACTCAAAAGGTAAATCTCTTTATGTGTCACACCAGGAACAAACTTTAAATAAACCAGCCTCTGCTGTGTCTGAACTTCCTTGGCTGAGGACTCACTAAAAAACCACTGTAGTGTTCTAACACCTGATAGCCATACTTTCTTCTAATTAGCACCTGATAATTCATTAGTACCACAGATGTTAAGTACTTCGTTCACACCCTAAAGTTATCACACAACCTCAGCAGAGGGATCCTGGTCTGCAGCCCTCTGAAATACTGGTCAGAGCAGGTGTGCCACATCCCTGCTGATTACTATGGTCTGACTCCACCTACAGGAACCTGAATCACATACACAAGCACAACACCACAGCAGGACAACTCCAGGTTGTCACTATAYATATATATATATATATATATATAATTATGTATCTGGATACTTCTACTTTAGCATCTCATTATATCAATGCACAAATATCCTCCTGTAATCATCCTCTGCCACTGTACTTTACTCAAGAATATTTCTCTACAAACAATATGTCCATTTCCCTGGTGTGAGGAAGCTTTATATAACACATAATTCATCTACTTTGGATCTGTAAAATACTCTTTATTGTGTGTATGTCGAGAGAAAATGTCTCTTCAGAGAAAGTAAAAACTCACGTTAAATCATAGAATCCACAACAACAATTTTGTGTTTTTTTAGAAATAGGTTACTTTAACTTTGTATTTAATTTGTGGGGTTAGTGTTTCTAATGTAGGCTAAAGTACAATATCTTGTTCTGAAATTAGAGTAATGTAAACATAACTAGAAATGCCTTAAAGTACAGGTAGCTCAAATCTGTACTTAAATAGAGTACTTGAATAAATCTAGTTACTCAGTTACACTCTACCACAAGTTACCAAAGCTTTATCAGTATCTATCAATAGCAGACAAATGATTTAACTGAATGCTGTCGCCCCCTATTGGTGAGAAATGAGCTCTTCATGAGAGGGTTGTGGACAATATAACTTCAGGTAGAGCCAGTCCTCCATCAGCATAGATGTTTTCATTCCCAAGGACTTCCTTTGCTTAATTACTGTCCTTCTCCATCTTGTTGTGACAGCAAGAGCCCAAGAAAATCATAATCAATTAAAAGCTGATACATATAACGGGAAAACTACCCAAATCTACATGTTACACAAGTGTAAATGAATGCATGATTTGAAATACTATATTTAAGAATGAATTTGAGGCTCTTGTAGTTGAGTATTCATGTATTTTCCTTATTTTTCTAACCTACTTCATCTTTATTCATTTATGATAAGAAAATCACATAAAATAACCTATAATCTAAAAGAAACATTTAAAAACTGCTTTCATGTGTACATTTATTTCCAAGTGGCGTTTCTTGCCTTCATTGTGGCAAACACTGATGCTGTCCTGTTAAGCAATTTATGAATATTGCTTCTAAAGAGACACCAGACAACTAATAAAATGTGTAAAAATTCAGGGTTTGATTTCTTCCCACAAAAGGCAAAACACATATATCAATGACAAAATCAGACTTAATACAATTTAAAAAGGTATATGTAACTTTATTGACAAGCTACGTTGCAGCAGAGGAACATAAAAGCCAGATTCAGGTTACTGTACCAACACTATGGCTATGTTAAAAAAAAAAAACTAAAACTGTACATTTTCTGTACAAAACATTTTCAAAAGGAAATTCACAGCTGATTAGGTTTCAGAGGCATTTCGTCCTAATCAAAATAACAAAAATAAATGATTCATTTAACACAAAAATAAAACATGATGAACTTCCATATCAAGCAACAACGTGTGATCTTGCATGGCTTTGACCATTGATACATTCAGTGTGGTTATGTTGTAGTATCTCTGCCCACCCCACTGTCCTGAGGAGGCCCAAGTATCATGCCCATCTCTAACTTGGCTTGACATTTGTTTTATTTCCTTCACTATTCATACTTAGATTGATTTTAGTTTCGTTGGATGCACCTGTAATCCCCTGTTTAGCAATTTCACTGCTCTCCTCCTTTTTTTCTTTTTCCAGTCCTGTGTTTGCACCTGCTGATGTGCTCATTTTACCGGCAGGACTTTTCTCCTGCTCCTCTCTTTGCCCTTGGCTGAACTGTCTTTTTTGACCCACTGCTCTATCTTTACTCCACTCCCTGTCTGCAGAGAAATGCATTTGTTTTTGTTTTGGGCTGAAGACATCAGAATGGTTGATCACATTTGGTAAGCGCATAAGACCCTCTGTTGGAGTGGGAAGTAAGGCAGCTCTAGGTCTCTGTGGTTTTCCACTGTTTGAAGGAAAACCTGAGGGCCCACTGAACACTGCAGAGCGTGGATGACTAGGACCTTGGAATCTGCTGATCTGATGTGGACTATTGAAATGACGTGATGCAGATTCATCTGAATGTCTTATACGTTGCATGTCATTCTTCATGGCTGCCTCAGATCCCCTAGAGTCTAAACCTGAGCCCATCATGTCTGGACCTCTTCTATCAGACCCAGAAACCTCAGAGTTTGGATCCCACCTACCTGGCCCATGTCTTACATCTGAACTTTCATCAGGCCTTAGCCGTCCCATGTGTGGACCTCTCTTCTCCCTTCTAAACTCATGCTCAAATCTTCGTCTCCCTGGACCATGGCTTTCTATGTCTGCCTCTCGCCTATCAGATCCTAGCCCCCCATAATCTGAAAACATTCCATCAGTCCCTGGACCCTCAATGTCCGGACTTCTGTTTACAGGTTCTGGTCGTCTTAAATTTGAACCTCCTGAGTCTATTCTATTGAAGCCTTCTAATCCTCCTGAACCTCTCCTATGTGCACCAGGTCCTTCCATGTTTGGCCCTCTCATATCCCTGCTGAAGTCTGGCTGCCTCCAGTCATTTGCCATATCTGGACCCCCTTTCATATCTGTCCCTGGTCCCAAAAAGCCTGAACCTCTTCTATCAAGACCTTTTGTTCTATTATCTGGATCTCTTTCCCCTCTGAAAAATGCCCCATGTCCCCCTCTGTTTGACCCAGCACCTCGTCTATCAGGCTCTCGCTTTTCATTTCCAGGTTCTCCCCTTGGCCCTTGGTACATTATGTCTGGATTATCTTGGAAAGGCCCTGAGCCCCTGTAACCAGGAGCATTCCAATCCTCTTGTGGACCTCTAACAGGCCCTGGAAAATCTAAATGTGGTATTTCCTGTACTGGTGTTTGCCCCCTCTCTCCAGCACCTCTCCATTCACTTTGAAGACCATGCCTAATTTCTTGGCCCTGCTCATCTGGCCCTTCCTGCATAGGTCTTGGACCCCTGTGGCCATGTCTTGACAAATTATCTCTGGAATATTCTTGCTCATTGTCAACAGCCTCCATATCTGGCCCTCTCATATCTGACCATTGTTCTTGTATGTTTGTGCCCCTCCATCTCTCTCCCCGAATTAGGCTTGAATCTGGCCCTGGTCTTCTAACATTTCTCCTCATAGGCCTTGGACCCCTCAATGTTCTATCAGATCCTGGGCCCTCTATACCTGGGCTTTCTCGTTTGGCACCTGAGTCCTCAAAATAACCCCTTCCCCAGTCATTTCTTCTATCATGCCTTAGACCTTCTGTACTAGGACCTCTTTGTTTTATGCCTGGGCCTCCTATGTCTGGACCAACTGATCGTCTCCTTTCAGGTCCAGGTTCCCTGAAGCCTGTGCCTCCTGATTCTCTTCTGCCAGGCCCTGGGCTCTCAGTGTCTGGACCTCTGATTTCATAACCTGGTGCTCTAAAATCTTGACCTCTTGGATCAGTATCATGTCCCTCCATATTAGCTCTTTCAGGCCCCACACTTCTGAAGTGTGGACCTCTCCTACCAAACTCTGGGCCCGCCATATCTGGAGGGTATCTTTCTAAATCAGGATCCCTGAACTGTGGGGCTCCTGGAAAGTTCATACTGTTTTCTGTTTCCTTCATATCTGGAGGCCTTCTCTCTGGCCCAGGTCCCATGAAATGTCCTCTGTCAGGCCCTGGATCCTGTTTATTTGAACCTGAATGTTGTGGTCCTGGCCCCATCATGTTTGGACCACCAGCCCTTCTCCTATCAAGCCCTGGGTCTTCCATGTTTGGATACCCCCTGTTAGACCCTGGACCCCTGAAGTGTGGTCCTCCCATTCCCTGACTGCGACTACCAGGTCTTTCAGGTCCCATTCCTATGAAGTCAGGCCCCAAAACCCCCATATATGGGCCTGGATTATCAGGGCCAAGTCCACCAGCATTTTGATCTCCTGGTCCTCCTCTCCCTTCACAGCCAGGCCCTCTTTCTGGACCTCCTGGTAATCTCCTTTCAGGCTCTTGTCCCTGGAAATCTGTATGTCCTGGTCCTCTTTTGTCAGGACCCTCTATAGGAGGACGTCTCCTTTCATGTCCCGGTGCTCTGAAATCTGGACCTTCGGGTCCTCTCCTGTCAGTCCCAGGGCCTTCGATAGTAGAACTGCTCCTTTCAGGTCCTAGTCCTCTTAAATGTGGACTTTCAAATCCTCTCATGTCAGGCCCCTGACCGGCCATAGAAGGACCTCTCCTATCAGGCCCTGGTCCTCTGAAGTCTGGTCCTGTAGGTCCTATCCTGTTAATTCCAATACCCCCCATAGCAGAATCTCTCATTTCATGCCCTGGGCCTCTGACATCTGGACCTGTAGGTCCTCTCCAATCAATCCCAGGATCCTCCAAAGGAGTACCTCTCCTTTCAGGTCCTGGCCCTCTGAAATCTGGACCTCCAGGTCCTCCTCTGCCAGGTCCAGGACCATCCATAACAGGACCTCTTCTTTCATGTCCTGTTCCTCTAAAATCTGGACCTTCGGGTCGTCTCCTGTCAATCCCAGGTCCCTCCATAGCAGGACCTCTCCTGTCATGTCCTGGTCCTCTAAAATCTCTCCTATCAGCCCCAAGACCTTCCATAGCAGGACCTCTCCTTTCAGGTCCTGGTCCTCTGAAATCTGGACCTTCAGGTCCYCTCCTRTCAGCYCCARGACMKTCCATAGCAGGACCTCTCCTTTCAGGTCCTGGTCCTCTGAAATCTGGACCTTCAGGTCCTCTCCTGTCAGTCCCAGGAACGTCCATAGCAGGACCTCTCCTTTCAGGTCCTGGTCGTCTGAAATCTGGACCTATGGGTCCTCTCCTATCAGTCCCAGGACCGTCCATGGCAGGACCTCTTCTTTCAGGTCCTGGTCGTCTGAAATCTGGACCTTCGGGTCGTCTCCCATCAGTCCCAGGACCTTCCATAGCAGGACCTCTCCTTTCAGGTCTTGGACCTCTAAAATCTGGACCTTCAAGGCCTCTCCTGTCAGTCCCAGGACCTTCCATAACAGGACCTCCCCTTTCAGGTCGTGGTCCTCTAAAATCTGGACCTTCAGGTCCTCTCCTATCAGTCCCAGGACCTTCTATAGCAGGACCTCTCCTTTCAGGTCTTGGTCCTCTGAAATCTGGACCTTCAAGCCCTCTCCCGTCAGTCACAGGACCCTCCATAGCAAGACCTCTACCTTGAGGTCCTCTTCTGTGAGTTCCAGGACCCTCCATAGATATACCTCTGAAATCCAGACATCCTGGTCCTCTTCTGTCAGGCCCTGGACCAACAATATCAGGACCTTTCCTTTTGGGCCATGGTCCACTGAAATCTGCATCTGCTGGCACACTCATGTCAAGTCCTTGATCTTCTATAGCTGTGCCTCTCCTCTCAGGCCCTCTGAAATGTAGGCCACCAGGTTCCTTCATGTCATTTTCAAGATGCTCCAAAGCCAGACTCCTCCTGTCAACCACTGGCCCTCTCATGCCAGGTCCTAGATTGTCCATAGTTGAAACTCTCCTTTCATACTCTTGGCTCCTGAAGTCTAGACCACCTGGCCCCCTCCTGTCGGGCATATGAGCATTCACATTAGGTCCAGGTGCCATGAAAGCAGAACCCTTTTGTCCTGCATCAGGCCCCTGTGTCTCCTGGTTTGCTCCTCTTCTATCAGGGCGGTAATCCATCCATTCATTTTGCATAAATGGCCTTCCTGTGACTGAACATAATTCTGTCCTATCTGGCCCTCTCCAATCATTTCTGTCTGATTCTAGGCCAGTCGAATCTGTTGGAGGCAGGCTTTTATTTTGACTTCTATGACCAATCACAGCAAGACCAACACCACCTGGTGCTGATCCTCTCCAGTCTGGATTTGTAATTTGTGGCACGGGACCTCTGTCTCCTTGGCCTAATTGATAAGGTATCCTCTCTAGCCCCTGACCTTGTATATTTCTTCCTTGCATGTCTGTGTCCCTCCTATTTGAACATATTTCTCCAATGTCTCTGCTGGAACTCTTTGCACTTGACTCACTTTTATCATCTCTTGTATATGGGCCAACCTTACTATCAATATCTTGACCAGACCCTCCTGTCACGTTGTGCCTTTTAGGTTCATGCATAGTGTCTGATTCTCTTATATTCATCTGCATATGTTCTGCATGCCCATGAACTGAACTGTCATCATGTCTTGATTGCCTTCGAACACCTTTTTCGCCCCTGAGAGATGGGCCTGCACCGCTTATATCTGGACTCTGATCTCTGAAATCTCCACCCATCATAGCAGATCTCACACTCTTAGTATGTGGACTCTCGCCTCTTTGTTTTTGGTCTCTATCTCTTCCTATATCTTGACCCCTTGGATGGTAGATAGGAATTAAAGGGTCTCTTGACTCTGAACCACTTGTGTAATGCCCATATCTGTCTGATGATTGCATTTGACTCACCCCTGAGTCTCTAATGTGTGGCGCAGGGCCCCAAACATGGGGACTAATGCCTTGCATACCTGCACCTTTGTTATCAGAGCTTAGAAATCGAATACCTGTGTCTCTTGGCTCTATATGTTGTTTCATATCTAGTCCTGGATTCCTTATATGTTTTGACAGTGGGTCTATTCCAGGGCCCTGCATATCTGACTCTCTGGCTAGCTTTAAATCTGATCCCCCTTGACCCAACATTTGTTGATGGTTTAAACCTGGACTTTCCGCTTCTAACTGTTTGTCTACCTTTATCATACATTGATTTCTGATATTTGATTTTGGACTCCCCTGTATATTGGGCACTGTTGCTTGACCACCAATAGGCAGACAAATATTTTCAACTTTAACAAATGGCATTGAGACGTTGATATGTGTCTCAGGATCTCTGATTTCAAAATCACTCTTTTCTATGCTGCTATGTTTCAAGAATTGTGGTTCTGGATCAGGGCTTTGAGGAGAATCTCGAATGGGTGGGTCAATTTCTCTTAAAGGAACTGTACTTTCAATTTTACTTTGAAGCATAATTTCCTGTTGAGAGGGTTTTTCCACCTGGGTAGAGGAACCACTGAGTGAATTATTTTGAAGGTCATGGGATTTTGGTGGTTCTGATATCTCAAGCTTGTCAAGTTCATTTGAATGAGGCAAAGTGCCTTTATCTGGGCACTCAGAAACATTGCATTGTAACTGATGTCCATCATGTTCATTTTTAATGGTAACAGGGGCAGATGATGACGTGTTACTCTCGACAGATTCTCCATCAATAGATTCCGGCATATCACATGGGACATTTGCAGGTTTTGATTTCTCAAGGACTTGAGGGGAAGGTCCTCTGTGCTGTTTTGGTGAAAGGGACGCAGAATCTGTTTTTATAGGAGAGGATGGAGATCTTTTACGACCATGAGAATGTCGGCGTGTACTATGCTCTTTACGATGGCGACCCTGACGTTCAGACTGGCTTCTAGCTCTATGCCTTGACCTGTCCCTTTCAGTTCTTTTGTGTCTATCCTTTTCTCTACGTCTATGGGAATGTGAAGGAGAATGCCGCTGTGACCTTCTTGAAGGACTTCTTTGGGAGTCCCTTTCACGATGACTCCGCCTCTTTGGTGACGACCTTCGCTTTCTGCTGTTGTACGAATTCGGCAGAGCACCCTTGCGGCTAGAACTATGCCCTTGTGAATCATGTGTATTCATACTGCTTCCTTGAAATACATCCTCTTGAATTAAATTAAAGAGTGATTCGTCCTCAGGGTCATAGGCTACATCAGAATCTTCAATCTCTCCAGCAGAAGAATACTTGTCACTATCCTCAACATTGTTTTGCGTTTCATCTTGTTCTACAATGTTATCTGTGTCATTTGTAGAAGCAGGAAGGGCAGTGGCTGTTTCTAACTTAACAGATTGTGAATCCACATTTGATTGGTTGCTCGTCTTGTCTGTTGATTCTGAAGATTCTGTTTGCATTATGCCACTCTGCAGTGATGACAGTTGACTAAGGGGCAAAGATTTTTGTGGAGGAGACATCAGGGAGTCAGAAACAGAAAATTTAGCCATGAACATACCCACAGCCTCTCTCTGTTGACGTAGTGCCTCTTCCTGCTCCTTCAACTGTCGTTTCTGCTCTTCAATCTGCTTATTAAGCTCCTCGAGCATGCGCTGCTGTTCAGTCAGTGTTGCAGCTGAGACAACTACAATGCCTGTAGGAAGAGGTGGCATTACTGCAGCTGGGGTAGAAGTTTGCATGGGAGTGGTAGTTGCAGATGGTGTTACAACCTGGGTAGAAGGTGGTCCTGGGCATGATGTAGAATCTGATGTTATACCAGGGGCCTTTTTAACATGAGCATCACTTTGAATATCTTCGAAGATAGTCTCATCCTCTGGATCATAGGCTATATCGTCCTCCACAAAGCCTGATACTGCAGGGTCACCTTTCTTAATCTTCTCTATGTTCCGTGGAGCAGCCACTCCATATCCCATGGCTGGATCGTACTCCTCCTCCGGGTCGTATGGTCGGTCATAGTAATTTTCCTCTTCTTCTAACTTTTTCACTTTGGATTTCTGCCCATATTGTTGGACGATTGGATCCATCATTGATTCAGACACATGAGAAAACACTGGGATGTTTTTAACACTTACTGTTGTTGTTGCAAAACTTCCTTCAGCAGGGCATGTAGAGTCAGTTTGCTTGTTGCGAACAATAGATTTCAAGATAGTCTGTAGTGGTGTCTTTTCAGTAGATTCTGTTTTGGGACTCTTGTCTGAGATGCTATTGCAGGTAGATCCAGAAACACCAAAAGGGGAAGAAACAGGACGAGTCACTTTCATAGAAGTCAAAAGAGATGGTACAGTAACAGATCCAGAAGACGAGGAATCTGATGGTGAGCCAGGGCAAGATGGTGAACCAGGAGGGAAAGTACTAGCAGGAGTCTCTGGATCATAGGGTTGGAATATCTCCAATTTGTCAGAACCATAGAGGACTGGTGGTTTTGGGATCCACATTGGGTCTTTGGACATATGAACTTTGGGTCTCTTCTCTTCAATTTCCTGAGGCAAGCTTCCTGGACGTTTTGCTTTCTGGATGATTGCAAGACCCAGAAGAAGATTGGGTCGGTTTTTTTCAAGCCCTAAGAAATAAAGAAAGGCAAGAAAAATAAATACATAAACAGATCTTGGTCAGAAAGGCCAAATAAATATTCTAATTCACAGACAAGTATTGGCATTGGTCATTCAAAACCAAACAACAACATTATATTGTTTTGAACTCTGACAGAACTGACAGTCTGAACTGATGGGAGTGTAGAAACTGCATATACATTTTTATTATGATGATTAAATAATACCATTTTTAAATAAAAAATGTAAACCGATAATCTGAAATTTAACAAATTAAATTGATTTAAAGCATTAAGCGCATATTTAATATTCAGATTTAATTTCAACAGATATTCAGGTTTTCTTTGAATTAAATAACTTTTTATTGTCTTTTATTAAGAGGCCAAATACTGACATCGGCCAGTTTTTTTACATTTTATAGAAGGGAGTTGGTTATTTAATCATAAGAGATGTACAAGAGGTGATTTACTGGTGGATAACATTTGTAATTTTTTAAGTAGATGGAAGAGCAGGACCGGCCATTCTCCCTAAGTCTGACACCTTTAAGTTAATAAAATTGAAAACCAACAGCAGGACAAGCGGAGTTATTGTGGCCTGAGTAAAAGATATTACTGTTAATACTATTAATATTGTTGCTTGTATATGCCAAATAATTTAAATGTTTATTATGCAAGACTACAGCCGTAGTTGAGGTATCATCTCACCTGGCCCTTCAAGAGGTTGTAGAATCGATGGGATTGATTCTTTTGCACTGAGCGGGACAAGGTATACATCCTTGAGAGAGCGGCTGCTATTGGCAACAACCCCAAAACGACCTCTGCTGCTGAAATATGAAAACAGGGAGACATAGGCAACCTCCTCCTCCTCTGTTGCGGGTTGAAACCGGATCACACATAACTCCTAAAACGGAAAAAACAAACAAAATAAGATTTATGACACTGAAAAACTTGAACATTATTATATAGGCGGCAGAAAGAGGTAATACACAATGTATACTGCTTGCCTTTGTAACAGAGGTCTTTAGCTTTGCAACATAGTCCCAAACTGTTTGAGGCATGATTCGTCCCCCAATTTGTATGGTATCAGGTAGATCCTACACAAAACAACAAACAGTAAGTTCCAGTGACAGAGACAGATTTGATTAATACTGCTGTGTGAATAACAGAATATGTGTGAAGTGCAGTACTTTACCGCTTTAAGGTTTTCAGCCGATCCTGAAACCAGATATCCCTTCGTAACAAACTTGGCTACATTGAGCATGTTTAGGAAGCCTTTCCACAGTATCTCTTGCTTAGAAAGGAACTGAGCAGTCTCACCATCACCAGGTGATTCAGAGATGACAGTCCTGAAACACAAGCCGCAGCAACACAATAACTATCACATCCACAAATCATACTGCTTTTAATCCAATGGAAATTATTTAAAAAGGAATATGTTTAAATTTAAACTTCAAGAGTTGTATATACCTTGATAATGTGCCATAGAGTCGAGGATCTGACAACGGCTTCATTAAGATAGATTTAGGTAAAGGTTTTGTTGGTGGTAGTGAGGATGCTGATGCAGAGGCAGAGCTATTCTCTTTAATAGACGCATAAGGGGATGATTGGTTAAGGGTTGTGTTGCTGGGACCAGAGGAGCTACTAGATGAAGCAGAGAACCTGCTGGCTGCAGTGCGGGGATCACGTCTTGAGATGGTTACAGTAGAGACAGCTGGAATCACAACTGGTGTGTATGCTTTCTTTGTTGTAGTAGCTTTAGGAATGTCTGCAGTTGGGGATGCAGGGGACTCTGAGACAGGGGAAGCAGGAGACTCTAAAGTAGGCGAGGCTGGAGAATCCCTCATGGGGGAAGCAGGGGATTCTACAATAGTGAGTGCTGGAGAGTCAATAATAAGGGAAGTTGGTGATTCCATGTCAGGTGAGTCAGGTGGCGCCCGCAGAGGGGAGTCGTCTCCTGCATACCTTCTCCAAGAGGGTTCATGCTTATCTTTTGTTTCAGAGATCTTGGGTTTTTTCTTCGCGGGTTCATCCTCTTCCCCAGGTAGTATCTGGCCTGGGGGAAGAAATTCAATCCTTATTATAATCACTAAAATAACAATATAAGATCATTTCTGTTTAGTATTGTCCAAATATATTTTAATTCACCTGTACATATCTTGCATTTCAGGTCAAAGAGGTGTGCTTTGTGCTCTGATGTTGTGTCCTTAAGCATACAGGTGAGAATATCTGACGTAGCGCTGCTCTGGATTGGCTGGTTTGTCCTGGTTTTGAGAGCAGGAGCAGGAAGACTTCTCTTCTGTTCCTGGGAAGCAACCTGTACCGACAGAGACACAAAAACAATGAGACCCAAAAAGACATTAATGGCCTTTCATGTGAAATATTTACATGGGACAGGAGGGACAGTGTATTGATCGTATAAAAAGGTGAAATTCCATCAATTTAATGAAAATAAGTTGGTCACACCATGCTCTCTGGTCTTTTGCTGGATCTTCTATCAGGTCTAATAGGATTCAAACTGGGCAGATCAACCTTCACTGCTTCAGGCTTCTGCAGTAAACTTGTTGCTTTAGCAGGAGCATCCCTAACCTACATACACAAAGAAGAATATGGTTATTTCTGACAGAAACATAGTATAACCTTTTCGATGCATGATAAAAAGTGTGATATTGGTGTAACACCTATACCACTTTACCTCTGCTGTTTCTTTTGCACTTTGTTCAGGTGCCTTGGTGGCCTGCATATCCTTCTGGCTCATCCTTGCCAGTCTGAACGGACCGATATCTCCTTGTACAACCCGATACAACAAGCCCTAGAGAGAAACACATAATTAGACCATTAACTAGAAACATATCAACATGTTGCTGACCAACCACATAAGAGTAGGCTAGTTGACCAATTAGAGCAGAATGGGCTTTTTAGGAGGCAACAAATAAACGTATTCAGGTAGACCCCAATATTGAAATCACAAACGTGTGAATGGCAAAATTATGGGCACTTTCAGAGTAATATTCCAATGTAATGTAAATCAAAAAACATTGAACGGTTTTATCAGCTTTGAACAAACCTTGTTTCTTGGGTCTTTTAGGTTGAACATTATAGTTCTGTACTTGTTCATGTATTTGCTGTCTGTGTTGCGAAATATGTCGAACATCTCCATCTCAATGTTTGCAACAAGCTTTGCAGCGTCACTCTCAGACATCTCCAAATCCTCACAGTCACACACCCTTAACAAACAAAAACAGTAAGTCAACAAATTGTTACACAGATATTCATGATGAGTGAGTCATATTATTTCCAAAATATGTATAGTTGAGGAAAATGCTACAAGTCACCTGGTCAGTAAATATACACTTAAACATTAAAAATGTGGTTCTGAACTGAACCGTGGTTAACTTCATAATGTATATTCCCCTTCAGTTGCTGCTGGTTGTAGGTTTGGCTCCTAGAACCACCACTGTGTTTCAAAGAGCTAATTTTCAATGTAATCAAGAGTACAGTATTTGTACAGTGCATTTTCAGAGAATCAAAGACTGAGTCACACACTTGTAAAACAGTTCTCACCTTTTGAACAGGATGCTTGTGAGGGAGCGCTGGATGCTCTGTCTGACCTGGGTGTTGGGCTGAGAGGGTCTGGAGGAGGGAGCGCTGGGCGCAGGAGGCACCAGCAGGTTTCGGGTTTCATTCAGCAGGGCTGAAGATGACTTCTGGCAAGATGCTGAGGCTGATACTGATGGAGGCTGAGGTCCAGACTGCTTTTTTGGTATGACGTATGAGGTCTTAGTGACCATAAGGGCCCCTGTATTATGATGTCTGGGCAGTGAGGTGGTAGGGGATTGTGCTGCAGGAGAGGGACTAGGCTTTGCTGTGGTGGATGGTATTGAGGTATCGGATTCAACTGGTTGTGGCTTCAACACACCACTGTCCTCTGGCTCTTTTGCTTCTGCTTGAGAGTCTCTGTTTGGTGGGCCTGGCTCAGTGACATGATGGGAAGAGGGAATCGTATCTGTAGAGGGGTCCTTTGGAGATTGTGTTGAGGGAGTTGCAGCCTCACTGTCAGCTTCTACTTGTTCACTGTCCTTATCAGCTGTTAGAAAGAGGAACAGTAGGATATTTTGTGAATATGAAGAAATACGTGATCTGTGACATAAAGAATATGTAAATCAAAAGAGTTAAAGGCAGGACCAACACTAGATGACGACTAAATATAAGTTATTCATGAGTTTTGATGATGTTTAAAACAGAAATGCTTGAAAACATGAGTAAAATGGGCATATATTGAGAAATAAATAAAATCCAGGTATCCAATCGAAGTAAATGCATTTGAATAAATCTGTCATTGATATAATCAGGAATATAAAGATACATAGGAGCCACAAAGCTTATATCACACCCTCCACAATTTAAAAAAATAGACCTTGGATCTCTGCTGGCATGGTTGTGGAAAGTTGGAGCCTTGATTCATAAGTCATAAGACTAAGTCAGACTGGCACTGAGCAGCCCCTATGTGAAGAATTTCCGGTTGCAGTTGTTGTGTGGCTGATAAATAAAATAATGATACATAGGATTTAAGGCATTTTGATTTTTGACTGCAAAATGATTTAATGGTAAAATAGGCACAATGAACTAGTTGGCATTTACATTTAATTCTGTTAAAACTTCTCCTGCACACCTTCTTCTTGCCAATTTTCATGTTTTTTTCTGATTTATACAACTGGGAATATGTACAGATTAGTGCTGTATACATAATGTAACACATTACAACACAACCTTATTAATTAATATATGCTTATCTTTTGTTCCTGAGTCTTTTATTTACTACTGGAATGTTCATGACCGGATTTATATGACTCCTTCAAGGACTTTGCTCCAACTTGTTGGATCATGTAAAGGTGATTCACACAAAAGTTCAACTACACTTAGGTGGTAGTTTAAGTCTGCAATCTTAATTTCATTATCATCATCATCTCAGGAAGTTACTGTCAAAACCTCTGAAGCATTTTCAAACCACTGTTATTAAAATAACTAATCATTAAATTGGCTTCATTGAACATGTGTATCACAAAGGACATAATTTATTGTGGATGATTTATCAATTAATTAATCTTAAAAAAAACTGAAAGTAGAGGGTCATAGATTTGCCAGCTCTGACAAAGAGTCTGCACTTGTTTCTTCATCATTCTGTGAGTAGCTAACGGGCAGGTATAATATCGCTGCCCCATATAGAATGAGGTCAGAAAGCAACACCTCCACAGCTGAGCTCATGGGACCTTCACAAAAAATTGTTAAGCTTTATTGGTTTAGGTTCTAACAGCATTCACTTTCTCAGTATTCTCAGTATTTGTTATGTGTTGGAGGATATGAGTGTGGGTGTTCAGTGTTTGCTGAAGCAGCTACAATATGTATAAGTTGTGATGATCAAAGTCCTGTGAATGCACTTTGCATTTACCACTGAAAGGAAATGTATCCACACAGACACATAGTTTTTAATGTATGTGGAGGATCATAGATACAAAACAAAAAAAATCTGATCTGTCAGTCTCACTGCCAGTGAGTGTCTTTATGTCAGCTCTGTGATATTCTAGTGACCTGTTCAGGGTGTACATCGCCTCTTGCACAATGTCAGTTGGGATAGGCTCCAGTACCGTTACCCACAGAGGATAAGCCGTACAGACGATGGATGGATGGTTAATCGAAAATTTCTATATAACTTTACAGTGACAATAACTGTGTGAACTCTTTGGAGAGAACTGCAGCTTCCTCCATGGTGTCCTGTTGTCGATACCTTACTCCATGCACAATGATTTCCATATGGTTGACTCATGAAAAAAGTTCAAACGATTCCTTTAAGCTTTTAGTTGTCACTCTGGGCTTCGTCGCTAAATTGTTCTAGATAGTTCCTTTGATGCATCTTAGTCAGGTACCCACTTCTCCATGTATAAACACTGGACTGATCAATATGTAAACACTTGTTTGGTGTGTAAATCAGTGTAGCTCTAACCTTTAACCAGCTCTAATCTTGTCTCATTGACTCCAGATGGTTTTTGATCTAATTATCTTCAATCTTTGATTGATGGATTTGATATGATAAATGCAGACACTGTTGATTATCTGATTAAATATCAGAACCTGTCTGCAGAAGCTGTCATTTTAAAGAACAGCAACAGCTGCACAATTTCACCCAGTGTGTCGCATTGAGTTTCTCCAACAAAGCCAGAATAACCAGCCATTATTGTTTCATTAATTAATCACATGCATCATAACCAATCATCAGCAGTTGAGTGGTATGGATTTTCATCACATGTCCAGGTGTCAGAGGGTTTATGGTCATTGGTCAGTGACTGACAGGTAGTAAAAGTTGCTTTAGAAAAAGCCTCCATGTTGGAGATGAACATAATGTGGGCTCACTTTATGTCTACATACCGCACAGGAACTGACATAATGGTGCAAGCTATGTTTGATTATGTCCTGTGAGGAAATTCATGCTCTGTATTTAATCCCTCTGAACTATTTACTCAAAGTGTGCAGCCACAGTGCAGCACCTGGAGACCAACTCCAGTCCTGATGCCAGTGGCTCATTCGCACATGTCTGGGCAACAACAAAGCAACAATGAGAAAACCATACACAAATATAGGGAGATCCTGCAGCTGCGACCTTTAGCCAACCACTGATCCAAAGGGCTGTGACTTGCTGTACATATGCGTGTGATGAGGGGTAAATTTAAAGTTGAGCCTTCTGGAGTGAGAACTCACACCAAGTTTTTGTGTAGATGCTTGACTAGATTCACATGAACGTCCTATATTTCCTGACAGGCAAACGGGCTGGGGCAATGTCAAAGGAAGAAAACATAAATAGGGACACATACTTAAAAAAATAGAAAACATTAAAAACAGCAATGCATTAAAGGAAATAAGTAAATGATTTAGGGTTAGTGAGTCATGTGAAGAAATATCCTTTGCCGCTTTAGGCAGACTTATTAATGAAGGAAAGAACAAATATTCAAGTGAGTCACTTTCTACATACATTAGGAAAAGAATCAGGGACCTTTACTTGTACTTCAGTATGCCTGTGTGTGTGTGTGTGTGTGTGTGTGTGTGTGTGTGTGTGTGTGTGTGTGTGTGTGTCAAAGTGAGGAGGAAACAAGTGCATTGTCAGTGTGTAGATGTGGTTTCAAAGCAAGATGCTCTCATTTAGACCCGTCACTTTAAATTGTTTGGAAAACACATTCTATGCCTATGAAACTACAGTACATATACATACAACCACTTATATTCATTTTGGGTAGTTCATGCGGTTTCCATCTCTACATTCGTTTGTTATTCCTGATTTCATAAATGATCAAAGTCAACCGGTCAATGATCACTCTTAACCACCGTTACCTCCAGAATGTTCCAAGAAGATTCAACTGAAAGTTTCCATCAACCACAAAAAGCCAACTTTACTGGCACCAACTTCAGGGGCATCCTGTCCTTTCTCTTATCTTACCATGGACCTTTCTCTTTTAATAATACATTTCCAATTACATTTCTGGTGAGACCGAGTTTAGAGCATAAATAGCATCGCTCTAACGTGCTTTGGATCTGAAATAAGATCAGGATCAACCACAAACATCAAATCTGTACGATTTCATTTTTATTGTAGCACTGTTCTCTTCTGTTTTTCATATAACTTTCACCCCGTTGCTGCTCGAGGCAGCCATTTTATCCTCTGCACGATAAACTCTTCAGCGCCATAAAAGTCCTCATCTCTTCTCTGAGCAGCTGTTCACTTAAGGAGCAATCTCAGGGGCCGAGATGCTCCATAAATCCTCAGGCTTTTCTTCTTTTCTCTAATTTACTCAATAAAACACAATGTAACTCACTGAATGTCACCACTGTGACTTTGAAGCTTTTATATTACAGCTGTGCAGTCCTCTACTCTGATGCTAAATACCCGGGTGACATCTCACAACTACACCTTGTTTTGTGAAATTTACTAATAGGAACATCCTTGACTGTATTTACTTAACCTGGTTTCAGACCCATGAAACACTGCTCATGACTTGATGCATGATTTGTTCAGAGAAAGGAAATGACTGTTCAGTCAAGTCTGCACTAACAAACACTTAATGTAGGTTTCTCTGCGCTGTAAAATAAACTATTTTCTTTACAAACTTAACATTTTAGTTAATTCCCCTGAATCAAACTTCAAAGTCATTGCAGCCATGGATCAATACCTGGCCTCAGCATTAATCACTGTACCAACCATCATGGAACACCATCATGATTGTCAGGTTATACATATCAATTATGTTCTCACAGCTCCTTCAACTGTCAACTAACTATTTACTTTGCATCTTGCATCAAGAGGCCTCCTGAAAGTGTCTCATGTGACCTCGTCATCGGATCTCACTTCCTCGCTCTATATGCAAATTAACACAAACATAATTTCTGCATAAGAAGACGAAAATGAAGTTGTTTTCTGCCAGTCCGACAATATAGATGTATTTGTGTGTTTTGGTCTGAAAAGGAGAGAACGAGGGACAGAGCAAAGCCAAGAGTGGGCAAGCGAATCAATGCACCTTTACAATTAAAAAAGATTTTACACGGTTGAAAACAAAAATAGAAGATGAGTATGGAGTGGCTATGTTCATATTGTGGAAGTGGCCACAACTTAATCAGTGTATGCACTGAGAAGTATGAAATGTCTTAGTTGTGAAACTGTAGCAGGAGGATGGCAGTTGTGTAGGAGCTCCTTCAATGTGGCCCAGGACATATTTGCATTCACACTGCTAAAAGAATGTGGCCACATGCGTCCTTACTGCATCTTGGGTGTGTTCACATGTACATAGAGCTGTCCACTTGTGATTGGATCAGATCAGCTGTTAATACCAGGTCTGAACGACGTCCCACAGTCTGAGAAATGTTGTAGCAAGGATCAAGTGAAAAAAACTACTGGAGTGCCAGTATGAGCACATCACTTAATGATATATGATATATGAAGGCACCAGACACAAAAGAATAGAAAAATATGATGATACTGGCTGACTTTCTAAAAGCATTAATCAATACGGAAGTAGCATTGTGCCTTATTTACTGTGTATTGTT